GACTCTGAAGGGTTCATATTTATGTGGGCTGTACTGATTGACACGATATTAGAAAGTAAAACAGAAACTTAAAAAAATTAAATATTTAATAATTTTATTGTGTACTATATAAAAATATGAAAATGAACTATTTTATACAAAAAATGATCAAAATAGCACTGCTTTTCTTTCTTTTTTTTTTTGCAGAACCGGGCATTGAACTCAGGCCCTTGCACTTGCCAGGCAAGCGCTTACTCTACTTCGGCCCCACTGCTTTTCATTTTAGCAAATCTTATTAATGGCTAGCTCAATACATTTCATCCATACATTTATCAGAAGAAGTGACTAAACTGGCAAATAACATCTCAAAATGATGAAATAGCTTCTATTTTATGGATAAAACAGGTTGAGTATTGGTATTAGAGATTAACATGGCTTTAGGCATTATTTTATATTCACTTCAGATTCCTCTAGTTTGTCTGAAGAGTTCAAGGAGTGATCCATACTTATTTATAGTTATAAAAAGGCTTCACTGGCTACCGAACAATGTGACAATTTCTTACTGAGGAACTGAGAAGGTAGGTCCCTATTTTCCCTCCTGTCAAAAGTCTAATGTTCTTAACCTTTTTTGATCATGTAGACTTAAAAAAAAATGAGGCCAAAGCTGAAAACCCCCACCTCGGCTTCTAACTTGGCAAGAAACCTCTAAATATATTTCCAAGAAGCCCAACATAGCACAATATATAGAAATATACCAAAAATGAGGGGGACCACAGCAGCAGCTATTGGCGCCTCCAGATTCAAAATATCACCTACAGAGCAACGAAAGTCAGCTTTACCAGTTCCCGTCACTGGATCCTGACTGTGACCCCAAGGCCTGGTCTCCAGGGCAGTGCCAGTGAGAGGTCCACATGCTCAAGGTTTGTTGCCCACATTGGCACTATCGATGGAAGCTTCAAGAAGTGGGACCTAGTGGAAAGAAACTACATCACTGGAAACATGCCCTTAAGCAGGACACTGTCCCCATCCCTTTTTGTCCCTCTTTTTGTCTCCCGGCCACCAGGAGGTGAATAGGCCTCCTCTGCTGTGCGCTTTCACCATGATGTACTGAGTCCTCATAGGCCCCTAGCAGCAGGGCCACACAACCATGAACTGAGACCTCTGAAACCACGAGCCAAGATAAACTTCTGTCTTTTTAAGCTGGTTTTCTCAGGTATTCTGTCAGGGACAGAAAACTAGCATACATCCTTCCCTAAAATTCTTTCCTCAAATTCTAGTTTACACACAGAATACCTAATAGCAATTTTAAGATCCCGCTGCATATAAAGTGCTTAACGGCCCGGATGCTCTCTATCTAGTTTGCCTGGCTAGGTGCTTAACAGTCTGCCTGTCATCATCTTTTCTCCTCAATGTCTTTGTACTCTCCCACCCCCAGGCCCCAAACACTGACTGCAAGTCTGCAATCACATGCAGTTGGCTTTTCAATATTTTCTCTCCCAAGAGGACCAAAGAAGAGGATAAAAGAAAAAAGACACATGGACACAACCACTTCCAAGAATGCCTCTGGCAAATTTCACAGTCTTTTTTTTTTTTTTTAATATTTATTTATTTTTATTTATTACATTTATTTATTGTGTGTGTGTGTGCGTGGCCAGCTCAGCCCACCAGGGGGCGGGGCTGGCTGGCATGTGGTGCTGGGGGATTGAACCGCGGTCCGTGATGCCTTGCCAAACTTGTTTCAAGTAGGTGCTTTAGACCACTGAGCCATCTCTCCAGCCCCAAATTTCACAGTCTTAAGGACAAATCCTCTTGGAATCTATTTAATGAAAGGGAAATACTCAGCTCAAAACCAAAATCTAAAGCCAGAGCATCAATGACTAGCTCAAAGAAATCCCCTAAAGTATTCTGTGGCCCCATTAATCTTCACAAACCATGAGATTAGAGTTTTTAAATGACATGTATAATAAAATTTTGCTGCAGTATTACACAGAAAATGACATGAGATCAATTTTCATGAGTCTAGTTCTTAAAAACTAAATACTTATTTTTTAACAGGAAAAATGGGATTTGTGAAAGTTACTTTGAACAACAAAAGAAAAGCTGCCTGATGAAACTGGAAACTTACAATCTATATCATGACATTTAGCCTACAAGTTAAGACTGGCAGCTACTATTTTCACTTATCAATAATTGGTTAAAGAGGGTTGGCTTTTTGACTGTTAAATTTTGGATTTCTTGGAGTTTTAGAGTTCGTCAAGGAGCTTGGAGATGACGCAGCACAATGAGTGAGTTACTCGTTAGATGGAGAAGCTGAACTCAAGAGACACTCAGGAACATGTCCACCGGCATGGGCGTACTTGGCTGCACAGACCAGGCTGAAAACTGGGTCTGTCTCTTGGTTTTAAGATTCTACTAATCTGAGTCACATAAACCTCAAAAGACCCCTTCCAGGTACAGCCAAATAGCTCAGTGGATTAAAGCACCTGCTTAGGCAGACTCAGGGGCCAGGGTCCAATCCCCACTGTGCTGTGCAGGCCCCACCCCCAGGACGCACTGAAATGGCGACTGCGACTGGGCATGGTGGCACATGCCTGTAATCTCAGCATTTGCGAGGCGGAACACAGGCAGATCATTACAAGTCCGATCTATGTAGTGAGATCCTGTAGACTCTGTACTAAAATACAAACAAACAACCCTCTAAATGGTGTCAAGACCCAGAAAAATGTTATGAATTTCCATGAACAAAGGAAAAAATGAAAGTGCAAATTCTTAAGTCCCTATCCTTTTCAGAGAACCCATACAACAATGTACTACAACATGCCTGCAAGAAAGAGAAATACAAAGCACCACATGCCACTAAAGTCTCCAGGTAAACATAGGAACAATTAGCTTGCCATGAACACTGACCAATCAAAACAGATGCTGGCTGTGGACAGCAACAACTGGTATATACCATCTGCTGACCTCAGTTACCACTGCAACTACTGTTCTCCCCACTGAACGGCTAGACACACAGTTGTATCCTCACCAGGTGCCCCATCAGGCAACTTTAGCTCCTCTGTGCCACTGATCATAGTCTTACTGAACTACAGTGATCTCCCATTAAATTACTTTCTTTGCAGGTTTTGGGATGAAAGGAATGGAGTCACTGTTCTCCTAATATGTGTATGTGTGTGCATGCATCTGTGTGCGTGCATGTGTGTGTGTGCGTGCGTGTATGTATGTTTGCTAGGTTCAGCACGTTTCCTAACATGTAATGTGGGAGAGGTGGTCAGGGTGAGTGTCCATTACTCAAAGAGTTGGGATCAGAAGTATTTTGGATTTCAGATATTTTGGACTTTGGAATCTTTACATATATAAGGTCAGATGTCTTGAGGACAAAACTTAAATCTAAGTAGAAAATTCATTCGTATTTCATATATATATATATATTTATATATAGCTTAAATGACATTTTATACATGATTTTTAATGTATAAAATGCATCTTTAATGTATATAGTGCTTCTGAATTTTGACAGCAAACTATCACATAAGGTTGATGAGTGGATCTTTTCACTCTGGTGCCAAGCTGACCCTCAAAAAGTTTCAGATTTTGGACTAATTCAGATTTGGGATTAGGAACACTGAACCCAAACTACTGAAAACAGTCCTGCCTCGGGGTCGCTGCACTGTCCCTGCCTCTCTCTGCAACACTGCTCACCACCTAGCAGCACGAGTCACCCTCCAACCCTCAAGATTTCTGCTCAGATGATACCTTTACATGAGGTCTCACCCACCCTCTAGTCCCTTTACCACACCCTCACATGCCCAGCCTCCTTATCTGTCTGGTCCCCCCCCACAGCATCTATGACCTTCATGTAACATACAAAATTACTGTTTCTTATTTACACGAAGCTTACTAAATGCGATACACATTCTGCTCAGTAAAAAACAAGAGGAATCAAGGGTGGCAGTACTGGCATATATTGTTTCTACTACCTGAGAAGTAGGTGCTCGCTATATGGATCTGTTTTAAAAAACTGGAGGAAAAAAAAAAAAAAAAAAAAAAAGGGGGCTGGGGAGATGGCTCAGTGAATTTAAAATTAGACCTGCAAACACAAATCCTGGGATCAAAATGTACACCAGTAGCATTAAGTAAAACCGTGCAAACATAAAAACTGGAGAAAAAAAAAAAAAAAAAAAAAAAAAGGATTTAATAGTTTGCTACTCAATGGTAAGCATGGAAGAGCTAGGTCTCTCATCTAGAGATTCAATGCTTCCCACAGTGGGATTTTTATAAAAATATGTGTAATCATCAGACAGGAAAAATAAAAGAAAGCTAATCACTAAACTATTGTTTATCCTAATCTATGCCTGGGAAATGGAACAGAATAATACTTTTATTCAAATCCAAGGACTAGCTAATGTTTTCTTTCATGGGTCAGTAGAAGAAACAATGTGTTACTTTTTCAAGCTGTTTCTAACCATGGTCTCAATGTTAGATTACTACAATATTTTCTAGATATAAATTCATAAATTTTCACCCCTGCATGCATACATCAAATAATGAGCAAAGTAAGCAAAATATATAATTTTATTACACATAAAATCAAGTCTTATTAACCAAAAATAGTGCTCATAAGAAGAAAACTAGTTTAAAAATAAGTTTAATTTTTTTTCTTTAACTCAAGGTGACAAATAATTGTATAAAAAGTAATTCTCTTCAATTTCAGATGAAATAAGTGTTTGTCAAAAAGTAACTTAAGGGGCCGGGGAGATAGCTCAGTAGGATAAGTACTTGCCTGGCAAGCACAAGGGCCTGAGTTCAATCCCTGGTACTGCCAAAAAAAAAAAAAAAAAAAAAAGTAAATTCAGGTTCACCTACTGCTGAAATGCATAAAATGTCGGCCATATAAACAATAATTAGACTTACTGACAGTAAAATCCTTCAAGTAAGTAATTTACAAACTTTCAGAAATCCCACTCATTATTTTTATTTTATTTATTTATTTATTTATTTTTTCCACTCATTATTTTTAGGTGTCACAAAATTGAGGTTGATGCAAAGTGAACTTGTCCAGGAATTCGGCTGAAAGACAGATGCAGATTTCTCTGCAAGCAAAGTTCCTATCTCAGCTACCCAACGCCTGCACCTACCGTCTGAAGACACAGGGGTTGACAGTAGTTCTTCCTAAAGGAGGACGAGAAGAAGGCATTGTTTTCCTCTCTATCAGAGAGTATTCACAAGATGATTAGACTGAGACTGAAAGAGAAAGGAGAAATTCCGGAAGGAAACAGATAAAACTTTTTAAAGATAAAAGTTTTTATTCATTGAAAAAAATTACCCAGCTTTTGATTTTTCCAAGACTTTTTACTGGGCACAAGAAATGCCAAACATATAATGTGTTTCTTCCTTCAGGATATTTGGCTAAGGGAAGTAAAGAAAACAAGGAAAGAGCACTAAATTCTTCTTTTGTTTCAGATAGTTGTAGGGACTGTGTATGATCATCTAATTTAATCTACAATTATATAAATAAAATATATATGTCAATGAATAATTATTATGTGAATACTAAAGTAGAAATCTGTATAAAATGCCATGAGAAGCTTTTAACTCTGTCCTAGAGGAAAGTGTACGTTTTTAAGACTGGCTTTGGGGATTCAGGTTAATTCTTAATGGCCAGAGTCAAATTGCAGGGAATTCTGGAAATGAGAGGGTAAGAGGGCTTTATGTTGATGTGGTTAATAGTCTTTTTATTTTTATTGTTTTTTAAATTTTTTTAATGTGCTTTTAGTACAGTGTCTATAGGACCTCACTACACAGATTGGACTCATAGTGATCCTCCTATTTTCAGCCTTTCAAGCGCTGGGATTACAGGCACAAACCACCATGGCCAGTCTCAGTCTCCATCTCAGCAAGCCCCCAGGGGCGAAACGGCAAGGCAGGCCAGGGATTGAGCTCCGGTCCCTGCGTCTGCCTAAGCAGGCACTTTAGTCTGTTAAGCTATCTGGCTGCCCCAATACTCTTTTGACAATTATGTATTATGCTTAAGTAAATTTAGGTCTAACAAAGATAGTTTTCTTAGACTATGTGAATGTGTATTTATAAAAATGTATAAAACCAGGCAAGGTGGTACACACTTGCAATCCCAGGACTTTGGGAAGCTGAGGCAGGAAGATGTAAAGTTTGAGCGGAGCTTGGGCTTAGTGAGACCCTGTCTCAAAATATAAAATAAAACAAAAAAAGGGCTGAGCTAGAGTTCACTGTGAAGCTCTGGGTTCAATCTTCAGTACTGAAAAAGAAAACGCATGGCCTTCACTGGTAACTAAGAGAGGAGCTGCTTCATCTGTACTGGGGTGAACTGGCAGCTGGACAGGGAGTGGAGCACACACTCCTGGGGTAGTGCAGAAGTACATGAGCGGGGAGCAGCAGGCACCCAGGAAAGGAAGTCAACTCTGACTACCACCCTATTGGCTCACTGAAGTATCTGAGTGCAAACAAAAGCACAGAAGCCCAGTGCTGAACCCCAGGGAGCAGGACAATTGAAACCACCTCCCTCTCTGCTAACAGAAGCCTCTGGCCAGCCAGAGGGCTGCCACCTCTGACCACAACGCCAGGTGGTGGCAATTCAGCAACCACAAGGGCCGTGAAAGACGACTGCTTCCTCCACACATTGCAGCTCTAGTGAGTTCTCAAGCTTTACCGAAAAAAAAATAAATGTCAGATGGCTCTTTGGGGGTAAGTGTCATGACTGCTGTTGTCAAGGTACCCCTGAGAGAGGAACACCTTCTAAGGTGACTAACAAGGAAATACCACACCAGCCCATCTGGTTTCTGAAATCTTGTAATCAAAAGGACAGAGACATGAGAACTATGGCCTGCCTCCCTAGTTTATCTAAAAATCAGTAAGACATTTGTGTATACGTGATGCTCACCAGAGTCTGGATGGAAATGATTAAGAAGAGATTTTTAATTCCTGTTGTTGGAAAATACTGTAGGAACACAGTTAGCTCTGTGGACACTGGCCTATAAAATCTAGACTCCTGAAAAAACAGAAAGTAATACAATCTTTAATGTCTGGAACCTTTTCTCTCTTTTAGACTCTCAGTCTAGTAGAATAAGTGAGTCCCTGGTGATGAGAAATTTGCTCTAACTTCTCTATTCTATCTGTCTACCTGTCCAAGGCCAATCTCGTTCTTGAGCGCTATGAAGATCAAAATAGCAACAACTTGGATAAAAAATTCTTTCTTTCTTTTTTTCTTTCTTTCTTTCTTTCTTTCTTTCACACACACACACACACACACACACACACACACACACACACACTTCTTGTTTTGCAATTCACTGGTGAATCACCGTGCAGAAGGCACAAAAGCTGGAACACAGAACTCACTGCATTATCCTGTGCCACCACCCTCCTATGCATGTCTTTCCCTTGGAACTGGCCTACTAAATCCACATGCCAGGTTTTGAGGCTTCCCAGATACTGCTAGTAGAGAATGCTGCAGCTGATGACAATAACATTGGTGAGAACTAATACTTATAGAGCACTTGACATGTGCAGGCTGCTCAAGATGTTTTCTATGTATTATGTGAGATAATCCTGACACCAACTCTGTAAAACAGATGCAACTATCATACCCATTTATAGGCAAGGCTACTGAGACAGAGAGGGGAAAGCAACTGTTCAGTGTGATGCCACTGGCAGCGTGTACAAGTGTGTGCTATGATCTGACCCAGGAAAGGATTGTAGAGTCTATATTCCTAACCTTTGTTTTGCCAATTCAGTGCCACATTCATTCACTCATTAATTAAATCAACAAATATTTCAAAAGCACTTAAAATCCATGAGCATTGTACTGGGTGCCAGACACATAACGGAATCAAGCAGCTGCTGTCCTTGCCTTGTGGAGCCTATCCTGAATACATGCAGTAAGTATTCCAGTGACTGTAAAATGGCACTGTGATCGCCACTACAACGGAGAAGTGCTCAGTGCTAATGGCACTCACAGTCCTGGGACATGAACTGTCGAAGATCAGGAAAGATCCCCAAGGGAATGAGAAGTAAGCAGAGATCTGAAGCCTGGGCTGCGGGACAAAGAGCAGGAGGAAGCACAGCCAAGCCAGAGGAACAACTGCACTAAAGGCCCATGAAGGGAGAATGGCACAAGAAGGGATATAGAAACTTGGCTGTGAAGGCAAAAGGCTGAGCAAAAAGCACTGTAATGAATGATGCTGCAGGCTTAGGGCTGGCAAAGTCACACATGTGAACATTTTCTGTCTGCATCCTAAGAGCAAGGGGAAGCCACTAGACAGCTTTTGCGAGGGGACACAACAAAATAACACTTGTGTTTTAGAAAGGTCCTTGTAGCTCTAGTGTAGAGAAGAGTGGAAGAGCCAGAGTGAAAATGGGGTGACCACAGAAGGCAACTGAGGAATCCAACGGTGGGCTATTAAGTCCGGGCAATGGTGGAGAGAAAGATGAAGGGGTTATGGGGAGGGTGCAAGTTGAGAAGCGTTTAGAAGCTAGGAAATCAGCAATGATGGAATACATAGAGCACAACGAAGACCAGAGAAGATGAGTCCAAAGAGCCCTGGCTTGTGCGACAGAACAGACTGTGTTCCATAACTGAAACGGAACACAGAGAAAGACTGGATATATGGGGAGAAGCCTGAATCTAATTTTTGCCTGGGTAAGTTTGAGGTTTCTTTGTGACATTCAACAGGAAACATTAAGAAGGAAGTTGGAACCTCAGAAAAGGCCTAGATAGAGATAAAAAGTAGAGTTGCTGTTATACACACAGACGAAAGGACATAACATGGATGAGACTTCTCAGAGAGGTGTAAGGGTCTAAGAGCAAACACAGAGAAACTCCATCATGTAATCAGCTGGTTAATGAATATTCTATGATGGAAACAGCTGAAGAATAGGAAGGAGTGTTACATCATGGGTAGATTTTAGAAATAATCTACAGAGCTAAATGTTATAGACAGGCTAAGCATGAGGAGGCCTCCACAAAATCAGACTATTTCAGAAAGAAATAACAAACAGTACACTGTTCTGGACTCTGTCACTAGCTCAGTGCACCCGAGGGGTGGGGCCGGTGTGGCATGTGGTGCCAGAGATTAAACCTTGGTCCCTGTGCTTGACAAAGCAGATGCTTTGTCTGCTAAGCTATCTCACCAGCCCTACTACTTCAATTTCATTGCTTTTTTTTTTGTGGAACTGGGGATTGAACTCAGGCCCTTGTGGCTACCAGGGAAGCGCTTATTCCACTGAGCCATCTCCCCAGTCCTTCATTGCTTATTATTGGATTGTTGGAAATATTTATGTATTTTTGGTCCAATTTTGGTAATTCATGTGTCTAAGAATCTGACCTTTCTTTAAGACTCTCCATTTCATTGTAGCACTTTTTTTCATAGTCAGTAATGAACTTTGGTATCTGTTGTGATTCACCTTCTTCATTTCTAATTTCATTGATACGAGTTTTTCCTTCATTTCTATTAGTAACTTTGGTTAAGATTTTTCTATTTTATTTATTCTTTTAACAAACTATTTTTGCTCTTAATTTCCACCCTGACCTTTATGATTTCTCTCCTTGTACTAGGTTTGGGTTTGGACAGCTTTTGCTTTTCTAGAGTCTCAAGGTGCATCATTAGGTTATTGATTAGAGCTTATTTCATTTTTCTAATGTGAACATTCAAGGCAATACTTGTCTTTCTCAGGACTATTTTCAATGTATCCTACAAGTTCTGGTACACTGTATCAGCATTATCATTTAACTCTAGTAATAGTTTGATTTCTTCTGTGACCCATTGAATGTTCAGTTACTTAATGTTTCAGTGTTCATGATATTTCTATGGTTCCTTCTGTGGTTGATTTCACACAGTTTCTTTTTTTTTTTTTTTTTTTGGTGGAGCTGGGGATTGAACTCAGGCCCTTGTGCTTGCCAGGGAAGCACTTATTCCACTGAGCCATCTCCCCGGCCCCAACATGGTTTCAATATTCTGTGTTCTGACAGCAGTACACCTGGGATGATTTCCATTGTTCTTTATTTAACTAGGCTTTAAAGACTATGTGGTCTATTTTGGAGAAAATTTCCTGTGCCCCTGAAGAGAATGTGTATTCTGTTGTAGTAGGGTATAATACTCTGTAGGTATCTATTAAGTCCATTTGTTTGAAGGTGTGGTTCGGCCCTGACATTAATTTTTTTGTCTAGTTAACCTATTTGTGAAAGTGGGAAATTGAGGTCCCCCATTATTACTGAATTAGCATTTACTTGAACTTTTATGTCCAATGGTAGTTGTTTTATGAAGGTGGGTGCACCAATATTTGTTGCATATATATTTACAATTGTTATCTCTTGATCCTCGTAATTGTTTTTTTAATCAAAATGTAGTGACTTCCTTTGCCTCTTCTGATCAATTGCAGCTTAAAATCCACTTGGTCTGAGAATAAAATTGCTACTCTTATTTGCTTTTTTGAGTTCTAGTACATTAAATAATGTTTTCCATCCTTCGATTTTTTTGTCTCTAAATTTCTTTTT